TTCATTTAAAAGAATTAAGCACTTTTCTGCATCGCAACCACAGCAGTGGAGATGAAGAAACTGCTGCAGCTCCTGGCTGCCGGTTCCGTTTGGTCCTGTTCCTTTCCGGGAGCTGCTCCTTCAGGAACTTTCAACAACTTCCTATGCCCAAAGTTTCCACAAATTAGTTATGCAAATTATGTGAGTCGCCTTTACCTCACCAGGACTCCATCTTCCACGGCTCGAAGCCAACCATCCGAGCATCCGAGCATCCAAGCAGCCAAGCAGCCAAGCATCCCCCACCAAATAGCACCCCCACTGTGATCCGGCATTTAAAACAATGGCTGGCGACCCTTGGCTGGCAAAACGCTCCCAAAAGTGAGACCTCCAAGCAGAAGACCAGCCCGATTAGGACGCATAACAAAGCAGAATTTGTGTAAGTTCGTATTTAACATGCTTTATGCATTCCTCAATTATAAATAGATTAAAGTCCCGAATAGACTAAAGTTAAATGTTAACTTTCCGGCCAAGGCGGACACCATTCACAAAGCAATTAACGCAACAGCTCCCCTGCTCCTCCCCCTGATCCTCATGCTCCTTTAGGCCGAAAAGGAAAGGCAGGAACCCAATTTAACTGACTGCCAACTTTCCACAATCACTGCCCATCATCAATTTCAGATTTTGTTGTATGTTTTATGAAGCAGTCAAGGCACAGGACAGCCGCCCGTCAACCAGACACTTGGACAGACAAACAGACAGGCTCAGAGACAGTCTGGGATTGGGTGCGGTGAGAAGGCCGAAGGTGGGCTGTGGGCGGTGGGTGGTTGGGTGGTTGGGTGGTTGGGTGGAGCTGGGTGCCTGGGTGGCTGGGTGTCGCAGTGGTGTACGGTGGAAAGTGAAAACAATGCCTGGCCGCAAACGGCTGAGCAATGGCTGTCCAGGGAGGCGACCGCCTGCCGAGTGTGTGCGGATGCTTCTTGCTGAGTGTTTACTTAACCGTAAGCCTGACCCACCGACCCAACCATTCCAGCCAGTGCCACCCCCCGCCCCCCCCGGCGGTGAGCTGAACTTGAACCACATTGAAACAACAAAAGCGAGCAGATAAAGCAGCGATGGGTAAAAAAAGGGTTGGACGGGCATCTTAAAGGATTGCTCAAGTTGGCCAAAACCAATATGTAAATGTGCGTGTTGTGATTAAGCACAAAAGCAGAGTAAGCCAGATACAAAGACGGCCAATTGGACGGTGGACGGTGGACTGCGGACTGCGGACGGACGGAGTTTTCTTGTCCGATGCCAAAGTCCCGAAAGCCAAAATCTCCAACCGCACCGCACACACATAATGTGGGCCAAAAACGAAGCCAAGCAAAAACGCAGCCTTGGCTAACTTTACACACCTCAAGTGTTTGTTTAGGTTGCTTTGCTTTGCCTTGCCTTGCTTGGGGTTTTGGTTTTTGTTTGAGCGATGGACCTGGCCGAGGAGTTATGGGGTCGGGGAAAACACTTAGGAAAAATTACCAAAAAAGAGGATTAGTGCAACTCGTTCAACTTGGGAGCAAAACCAATGCGCAGTGGTCAAAAGTAGTTTTGCAATCCCCCTCAAAAACTTATCAAAGCATTTGCAGAAGCCCGCAAAAGTCCACAATCCGTCTTAAATATGCATTCGACACTTAGAGTATTATTAGGCGGGTTAAACAACCAAAATTGTATAATACATTTTGTAGAGATATGTTTCGAGTGTGCGTTAATATTATTTTAGGGAACTGAAGTGCAAGTAAATGCACTACGAATGTAAATTTTATGTTACTAATTGATTGTTTCTTGCTCTATCTATGTATTCAATGTAATATTATTGAAATATAACATTGTCCACGCAAACTACTTATGTGAACTGGAAAAAAAAGGGTGTCTTGCATTAAGAAGATTATTTTATTGTAGTGTAAGGGGAGCAGTTTCTGTGGCCATTTGACGCCTTCGTTGTTTTTGGCCAGCGGTATTATAAATCTTGCCCGCAATGCAGAAAGCGATCAGATCCCTTCTCCTGCTCCTTTTCCCGACCCAGCCACCCACTCCTCCTAGGATCCAAAAACAATGGCCTGGAACCCTATTAGCGTAGAGCAATCCTCCTTGGCAGGCAATTCTCCGCAGGAGTGTGTGGAGTTTTAAGGGGTCCGGCCATAAATTGCAACCGCCAGGTGAGCGGTAAGTGGGTGCGGTTTCAGGTGGTGCGAGGGGGCTAATGGGTCACTACTTGATGTATCACACAAACAGACACAAATGATATTTATGCTGCCGCAGTTGCTCCTTTGCCAGCTCCTTGCCTTCTTCATTTTCTCCAGCAGCTTCTCCAGCTCCTTGGGCTTCGGCGGAGGAGCCCGTGAGGCTTCTCACGGCCAGAAGCCGCGCTCAGCTTGGTGTAATAAAAACTAAAATCCGCACAACAATATGTGCGAGGATAATGCCATTTCCGTTTTATGGGATATCCTGTTAGTCCTCCCCCCACCCCCCAGTGTGTGTGTGTGTGAGCGTCCGCATATGCGGAGCTTCCTCAAGGAGCCCCAAATCTGAGCGAACGAGTTACGACTACACCGGGCCAAAAAGAACGAGCCCGGACTGGAGGAGCTATTGCGGTCGCCATTTCAGTGATGGGCTGCGATAGGATTCGCAGGACGTAAAGGCCACGGTGGCATGCGTGCGAGTCGGGAATGAATGGATCAGGGATCAAATTTTATGGATTGCCGGGGCGCATACTACATATATGTACATATGTATGGTTACACTCACATGATAATGAAGTCAGAACTAAGGAATAAATTCCACAAATTTTCATTAGCCTGAAAAGTCAGAGTGCGGGAATTCGATAACAAAGGATTGGGGGTTGGGGAAATTATTGGAATTCGAATTCTGGCAAGGTTAAGTGAAAGATTTTCTTCCCAGCCTTGAACAAAATTAATTTATTAAGTCGACGATAAATCGTTGATAAATGGCAGCCCAAAGGCGTTTTAAGGCTCACCTCCACAAATGGTATTGTGCAAGTGCAATCAACTTAAAGCTCAAGGGATTTTAATTTAAATAAATATTTTAGAGGTGAAATACAAATCAATTGAAATAACTGATCAAAACTGAAGCGAGTAAAGAACCCCCTTAACTTTCCCCATCGCAGACTTACAATCAGCTAATCTGTCCTACATATTTGCATATCGCCTCGGCTTCAGCTTGGATTACGATGGTTATTCATTAGCCGCATTCCTGGACGCCCTTGGCCAGCAACTGGGACGCTTGCTGCGGTTAGCCGCAGGACTTTCGTCCTTCTTGTTGCCCCTGCCCCGAGCGACGCCACTATTACCATCTCTTTCTGAGCCATAACCGGGCAAACCTTTTTTGTTCAGTGTGTGTGCGCAACGGCAGAGGAAAAACAAACGTCCGACTGCCGGGAAAATCTGTATAAGTGTGTGTATGTGTGTGAAGTAAAAAGCGCAACCGGAGAGGAGACGGATGGACAGCGGGACGGAGGGGGAGGGAGGGTGGCAGCGGAAAGCCGGAGAGTAAGGAAAACCATAACTAAATCCATTGCCATAGGAAAATCCAAAGCAAAGTCTGCGATGCAAATAGTAGAGATTATGGGACTGCAGATGTATGAAGAACGAGATGGAGCTGGATGTGAAACCCAAGGCGCGACTGTGAAGGACCCAAAAGGGATCCAGGGCGGACGAAGGACCCCGGCAGAAGGTGTTATGTGTACGTGTGTACGAGTGTATGAGGCACAATAAATCTTGCAAGGGTGCCGAATGGCCGGGCAAGGGGCCGGAGGCCTCAGGTCCTGAGTCCTGAGTCCGGAATCCTGGATCCTGGGCATTGGCATGGATCTGAGACGGGACTTATGCCCCATCCTCCACTTCCTCTGCTCCTCCAGGGCGAACCTTCTGCCACCCAATGCGCGCACGCCCCGTCAGTGAAAACCAAAACCAAATAAAACTGACATTATGCGAAAAGCGAAAGCCATAACTAAAAGTTGGATAACGTGGCCATGATGAAGCCGAAGTGGAGTGGGCAAGAAATCCGGAGCTGAAGCAGCCGTAAAGTTGATACTAAACCAAAGAGCAGAGCTGGCAAAGCTAAAACAAATCGGAGATGCTATTGTCAGGAGCTCTGGACGAGCAGGTGCCCCACAGACTCGATTAAGTGATAGTGTGGAAAATGGATAATAGAAAATTATTTCAAAAAAATATTTCTCAGCTATTGAGTTACGAACTAGTAAAGCTTCTTCTTGCTAAGAATAAAAACCTTTGTTTGCATTTTACATCGAAATGCTAACGAGACTTTCTGGAAATGACTGGTAGTTTCAGTTGACAGTATCATGAAACCGAGTTTTTCAGCTGATATAGTGTCCCTCTATTCCATTTTTATTTTCATTTAATTAAACTTGATGACGCCTTCTAATCTCTTAATATTTAATACAGGGATTGCTTAAAAAGTTGTGTAAAGAAATTCCGGCCATTCGAAATGTCATTTGGATATGATTCTAATTGCTGCCCCGGAAAAAACTTGATTCACTCCAACAGGTTTCAATTTGAACATCCTAGAAGCTCCTTATTGGATCATTAAATCAAGAGGGACTGAGCTGACCTAAAAAACTGAGAGTGCTTAAATGCTGCTAAGCGAACTGAGTTTGTTCCTTAATCGCCTTCAGGACCAGCCAGCACCTCCCAGGACCTCCCAGCACCACCCGGTACGACCCAAAAGGTAAATCCACGGCCCTGAGCCGCGAATCCAAGCCACCTCGGAGTGCACCACAATGGATTTGCCACAGCCAACTCCACGGCACGAGCTGAATATTCTCCGTTTTTACCCTTTCTGGGTGCTGGGCGCAAAATGTTTGGAGGGGGTGGGGATACAGATATCGGGTATGAAAAACAGAAACAGGAAAATAGAAATGATAGCAAAGTTGCAAAGGGATGCGGTGCGGGCGGGCCGAAGGGGTTGCTGAAACGGAAATCGACTTTGGTAAGGAGTTTCTCTCGTACCTGTGAATCGGAATCTGAACGCTGGAGCTGCACCGAAGTTATGCAAATGTAAAGTTGTTCGTGCCTGCTCCTGGCTGCTGAATCCTGCGGCAGGATCTGCTCCTCCTCCTGCTCCTGCTAGTGCTCCTTCTCCCGCTCCTACGCCCGCTGTCAATCGAAGGCGATGTCGCGAGTGCTAATGACGTTTGCTTTGATTGCGCCCCGCATGCGAATCCAAATCTGAGCCACAACTCACAACTGTCATTTTCGCAAGGATATATGTACGAGTATGTATGTCTGTGCGATGGGTATGCAGGATAGAATGGGTTCTTGAGTGTCTATCTCAGCTGGTACAACCAGCTCAGCTCCTCACCGGAACTCTATTTATTTAATTTGCATGCAATTTTCAATTTTTATGCGGAATACTTGGCATTGACAGCAAACGATGCGCACATTTCGCATCGGCAATGCACAATAGAAATTGAATTGCAAAAATTTGTTTGCCCGTCCAGGGCAGCAGGCAAATGGATTGCGAACACAGTGGAATAGCGGATTTTGAGGGCTCTTCACGTCTTCACGCCAATGTCACAAGGAGCCGCATCCAAGGAGCCAGCGAGCTGAACGAGTTGAAGGAATCGCACAATTTGGCGGCGAAGCTGTCAAGTATACGCCGCGTTGCCAGCGCCACACTGACTGCAATTACAATGGTGGCCAACAACAAAGACGGTATGCCGGTATGCCACACACACAGACGCACCACTGGCACACACACGACACACGGCGTTGAAGCCACAAATACGTACGCTCCGCAGGATCCGGAGGAGAAGTCTGAGGCGAAGACAGGCGACAGATCCTGGGGTTGCCCCGTCGCCAGTGTGCGAAACAAATGCACGCGCACAAACACGCTCACGAAAAAATCGCGCGAAATTTGGCGAGGAAAACCAAAACAAAACAACAACTTCGTGCGCTTGGGATCACGATGAATGTTCGATGCGAAATGCAGCTGCTCTCCACCACCGAACCCTCCGAAACTGAATTCGCAACTGAGCCAGGGACGAACACGGATGCTGCCATCTGGAGCCGAGGCAACTGCACGCACGAAGGCTGCCGACGAGCGGCACGATGAGGCGGATGCTTCGGATGCTGGCTGGCAGAGCTTTTTCGGCGAGAGAGAGAGAGAGAGAGGAACTGGCATTGGCGACGTGTGACTTCGTTAAATTTCTGCGGCGACAGCACACAAAACGGATTCGGAAGCGGAAGTAGCAAGTAAGCGAGCAAGGAGCGCTCTGTGGCTATGTGTGTGTGTGGATGTGTAGGTGTGTGGGTGGGGGTGGGCGCGCTGAGTGGGCGGGGTGGATGGAGTGGCGCTGAAGTGGGCGAAGTAGCGCCAAGTGGCTGGCTAAAGTCGACTCGCGGAGCACGACCAGAATTGAAGTTTTGTGTTTGTGTTTTGCAATGCCAACTAAACACACATGCAGCTCCACACACACGCACACACGCACATGTATGTCCGTATAATAATATATATTATAAGCCATACATACCTACGCCGTGGCATCAATATTCACATTCGCACTTGTGCGAGTATTCTCTGATTTGCTGCAATCGCGTTTGCCAACAACGAACTTGGCTAACAACAACAGCTGCCGGAGTCGCAGTCGCAATCGTAGTGGGGTATTTTCCAGCGGATGTTTGGTAAATCTTTGGCGCCGGATACCAGCGCTGTCTTCCCCGGAGTCGCAGCCCCGCCCCCTCAGATCGCCGCCCCCCGCGAGACACGGTTATACTCTGCTCATATCTTTCTTAGTCTTACACAGAAAGGAATTTCTAAAATCTTTGTAAAAGTACTGTGCTTACATATATGTACATGGAAAATTCTTGGTTTACATTTTTTGTTACAATTATTATCCCATAAAAAAGGTTTTTTTTTGCAAGTATTATATTAATTATATTTTAAAATGTAATGCAAATAAGCATGCAATCTTAATAGCCTATGAATACCTATAAAAAGTTTTCATATAGTGAAAAATTATGAATTTTGCTCAGTGTACATTGCCTGCACCCAGGGGTGTGTATGTGTTGGTATCGATAACTAATAAAAGCATTACATTTATGTTAGAGCCAAGCGCTGTGGCCCCTTATTTCCCCCCTTCTGTTTCGTCCTGAGCAATAATTCAGTTTTCATTTCTCTGTTTTCCTCAGTTTCTCATTTTCATTTTGCAGCCAGTGCATGTGTGCCTTGCTGCCTCCTAAACCTCTCACCCTCTCCATTTTCCGCAAGCCCCATGGTTTTGCCACAGTCATGGCCAACTAATTGGAAACAGTAGCCAGCTGCGCTTGCTTGGCCCATTTTGTTACTGCAGCGGCTTGAAGAGCTGGCTGCTGGTGTCTCGTTTAGTTGCCAATTGCTTAGTTGATTTTCATTGTCTGCCCTTTGGGCCAAACTCACAGGTGGCTAAAAGGGGGGTGGAACGGGTGGTATAGGTGAAAGGTTGGAATGGGTGGAAAATGCAGGGGTTTTTCCGCTGTATTGGCTTGTAAGTGAAACGATAAACGCTGTAGCTCGCTGTCATTAATTGGCTGCCGGTTGATGTTTATGTCGTTAGCTCTTCGTTACTGCAAAGAGGGAAAAGCGGATTGGATGTTTAATAATCTCCGCACATTCAGTTGGTTTTCAGTGATTTTCCTGCTCTTCCTCAGCCGCTTTTAGCTTGATATTCAATTAACTTTCGCAGCACAAATCTAGGCAGGATCTGTTAGGGACAGCCAGGCAGCATGTTAATTAATAATGTTTGTGCTCGTATCTGTGTATCTGGGTATCTGGTTACTGCTAACTGGTAACTGGTAACTGGTATCTGGCTGATCTGGCGCTGTGCTAATGTTTAGGCCAGGCCAAAGGAACTATTCTCCATTTCCTCGTCTCAAACGGCTTCCGTCTGATCCTGAGAGCCACGCCTTCGTCTGCAGCCGTTCGTCCTTCGAGCTGTTTTTGTCAGGCTGCTTCTGCTTCTGCTGCTGCTGCGTTTACCTGCCAGCGAGGGCGAAAAGAAAATATCCGGTTTTCAACCGCAAACTGCACTTTTCTACCCATTGTGCCTGGCTCCATTCGTTATCCTGCCACTGCTCCTGCTGAGTGGCCCCATCCCAAGCCCACACAGACGGAGCAAAGGACACGGACAGACACACGTTCGGGACATTGAATTTGTTTTGGGTTTTGATTTTTCGATTTCAGATTGCACGTTTGAATGGCCAGCACCAGGACCAGCACCAGCACCAGGAGCAAAATCAGAATCAGAATCAGAATCAGATCCAGGAGCTGGAAGGACCAAAGCAAGGAAACGGGTGCCGACCCAAGTCCGACAAATTCAAGTCTGAAGTGTTGACTGCCACATTTATCGCAGCTGCATCTGCAGCCACATGAAAATATTCGAATTGATTGCAAAGTGCTGGCCATTCAATAAACTAATTAAATACAAGTGGCGTATAATTAATTTGCTGTCGAGCTCCGATTTCTTGGGGATATCCGGGGAATTGAATTTTTGTTTATGCCCATCCTTAACTAATTAAATTCACCAGACTGCAGAGTGAGAGCGTCTTTTGCTAGTGCCATCTAGTTTCAGCATTGTAGATGAAAATTCATCAATTTTCAGCTCGATTCGCTTTTGCTTCGAGCATTCAAATTGTGTTTGCATTCTCAATTTTCATATTTCTCATATTTCTGGCTGCCTTTCCCTGCTATTTCGTGACGTGTTTGTCTTGGCCAAATGAAAAAATGCCGAAGTGAAAATCATCTCAGTTTCACAAGAACTCCAGAACAAAGGAAGTGAAAATTAAGTTAATTTTGCAGTCAGACTCCGGGGCTGGCTTTAATAAATATTGGAGTCCATTATATTGGAGTCCAGTAATCGAGTAATCGGCTAATGAATTGGTAGCAAGACCAATCCTCCAATGCACTTTTCCATCATCGGGCCAAAGGCTTGCGGGGATCCAAGGATACATAGAAAGGCTTTTATCTCCCAGTTAATGCACAATGGCTGCATTTAAAGACTTCTCCAGCTGGGAGCTCATCAAACTGGCATGCATGGCCTGGCCACATAATTGCAAATGACACCGCAAAGGGAAAACTGTTTCAAGTCTACTTCTTAGGCTTTTTCCAGCTTTTTTTTCTGTTTTTTTCGTGCCCATTTCCCCTTTTTGTCCTTTGAGCCCTTTGAACCCTGTGGTTGTGTGTTAGCTTCAGTTGCAACTGCAATTGCAACTGAAAGTGCAACTGCAACTGCACCTGGCAGCACTTTCCACCGCTTTCCACTTGTTTACCACTTTTTGTTCTGGCCTTGGCTTAGCTTTCCTGCCATTGTTGTCGCTGTTTGTTGCTTGTTTGTTGCATATCGGGGAATAAGTATTTCTGGCATTATGGCTCTATGAGTGCCCGGACACACGGGGAAAAACAGGAGAAAATAGAGGAAAACAGAGGAAAGAGACAACTCTAATACACTGAACCCTTGGCTGAGCTCACCGGAATCCGCTCTGCGATTTCCCTTGGCTCGCCGTTTTAGAAAAGCTCTTTTCTAATGGATAAGCATGGGTTTGTGGGAAATGGTTTTACAATCTCCCTAGATAAGAATTTCAAATATTCATTGGTTCCAATTAAAAGGCAATCTTTTCTTTAAATATTTGTGCGAAAAATAAAGGAATATAGTTCCCTTTGATAAATAACCAATTCCTGTTATTATAACCATGCTTTTAACATTATTAAATTCCCCTAAAAAGTTCGAAAATGATTTTTATATGTCCCACGATCTTGAAACTCGCATCAAACTTTATCTGGACCAGTGCGAATGAAGTGAAAAGGTCAATCAAAGTTTGCCGAAGTATCCAAATTATCCAATGGCCCAGTCGAGAAGGGTTAAACTGCTGCGGGAAGGTTTTCATGGGAGGCGTCTCAGGCCGGATTAACAGGGGGCAAGCAGCCCCACCATTGCCACCCCTATCCAACAAAAAAACAAGAGGACAAAGAGAAAAGCTGAGACTTTGCCACGGCAAAGGATAGTGGCAATTGAACCGGCACTGGATGTCTCAACTTTTGCAGCTGCCATATCCTTGCCACAGGTCCTGCAGCATCGAGTCGATGGCTAAAAAACTGCTGCAAACGTTTTTTGGGCCTTATGCCGCTGCCATTTTTCTCGTTGTTTACCAAGTTTTCACGACTTTTGTGCTCTTTGCCGAGCTTGTTTGTTTGTTTGTTCGTTTGTTGCCGTCTGCCTGGTTCAGTACTTTTTCCACCCGCCTTTCGCAGCCCTCTTTGGCATCCTCCAGAATCGGCGTTATAGAGTTGATTGATATTTTTAAATTATGTGCCGCAGTCGGCATAAATTTAAAATCTTTCGGCTACCGCTCCAAGATGCTGATGCTCTTAATCCGCCGTCGAGGGCTCAGCTCGTCCGCCGTCCGTGTCAAAATGCCAATCGAGAATCCGAGCTTCCGCCGGCATCTCTCATCCCCCAATTTTACCGCCCGCCATCCACTTTTTTCGATGATGATGACGATGATGTTGATTGGCGCGGCCGCTGCGGTGCTGGCCTCATTTTTCCCAGCTCTTCCAGCCTTTCCAGCCTTCCCAGCCTGCCCCATTGCGCTCAGTGTGTTGGTCCGTCGACGCTGGCGGCTTTAGCATAAAATTAACATTAATTTACTTGTGGTCTTTGAAGTTATTGTCGGCCGCCTGGGTGAGCTGCCGTGTTTTTTGTTCTTGTATGTTTTGAATTATGGAGCCGAAGCTGTAGCTGGACCTGGAGCTGGAGCCTTCTTTGGCGCCCCGTTTCGAGATATTGGGTCGAGATCGCCGAACAATGGACACGGCCGTGAGTTTTTGGGTTGCGCCGCTTATCGAAGCGTGGCACAAATGTTATCGGCCATTTCCATTAATGAGGCGGCCGTTTAATGAATTCTAAAGTGTGAGCAGGATGTAGCCAGGTCCAGGTTCAGTTTCTTATCCAGCAGTCTGCTCCGTTGAAGGATGTGCGAGTTCCGAGTTAGGAGCGCCG